TGTTCTAATTCTACCTCTCCAATACCTCCTTTTCCTCTTAGTTTCTCCTTTTCCTCTTCTTCCCTTTCTCTTCCTTTCTTGTTCCCTTTTTACCTTTCCACTACCCCCTCTTCCTCTTCTTCTCCTTTCTTTCTCTTCTTCCTTCTCTCTCCCTTTCTTCTTCTCTTTTTACCTCTTCCTCTTATTCTCCTCTCTTCCTCTTCCTCCTTCGGTTTCCTTTTCTTGTCCTCTTTCTACTTCTCTAATACCTCCTCTTCCTCTTATTCTCTCCTCTTTCTATTCCATCCTCCTCCCACCCCTCCACTACCTATTCTCTCTTTCTCTCCTCTTCCACTCTTCCTACCTCCTCTTTCCCTCTTCTTCCTTCTCTCTCCCTCTCCTCTCCTTCTTATTCTCTCTCTCTCTCTCTCTTGTTCTTTCTTCTACTCTCTCCTTCTACTCTTTCCCGTATGCTACTCTTCCTCCCCCTCCTCATCCGCTCTCTTTCTCTTCTCCCTTCTTTCCTCCCCCTCTTCTTCCCCATCTCCTTCCCTTTTCTCTCCCCCTCCTCTCCCTAGCCCGCTTCCCTTCCCCACCCCCCCCTCCTCCCCCCTCCTGTCATCATCTGCGCCTCCCCCAGGTAAGTAATTTAACCAGGTAAGGCACGGTGATGATGGGGGCAGTGGAAGGGTGCCAGGCACTCCCCCACCCCCCCTTTCCCATCACCTTCCCTCCCTCCCTCCCTCCCTCAGTCTTCCCTTACCTTCTTCCTCCCTCATCTCCAACCTCCCCCTTCCCCCCCCTCCCTCCCTCACTCCTCCCTTACCTTCGTCCTCCCTCATCTCCAACCTCCCCTTCCCCCCCCTCCCTCCCTCCCTCCTCCCTTACCTTCTTCCTCCCTCATCTCCGACCTCCCCCTTCCCTTCCCTCCCTCCCTCACCCCTCCCTTACCTTCGTCCTCCCTCATCTCCAACCTCCCCCTTCCCCCCCTCCCTCCCTCCCTCCTCCCTTACCTTCGTCCTCCCTCATCTCCAACCTCCCCCTTCCCCCCCCTCCCTCCCTCACTCCTCCCTTACCTTCGTCCTCCCTCATCTCCAACCTCCCCCTTCCCCCCCCTCCCTCCCTCCCTCCTCCCTTACCTTCTCCCTCCCTCCTCTCCAACCTCCCCCTTCCCCTCCCTCCCTCCCTCCCTCCTCCCTTACCTTCGTCCTCCCTCATCTCCAACCTCCCCCTTCCCCCCCCTCCCTCCCTCACTCCTCCCTTACCTTCGTCCTCCCTCATCTCCAACCTCCCCCTTCCCCCCCTCCCTCCCTCACTCCTCCCTTCCCTTCGTCCTCCCTCATCTCCGACCTCCCCCTTCCCTTCCCTCCCTCCCTCACCCCTCCCTTACCTTCTTCCTCCCTCATCTTCAATCTCCCCCTTCCCCTTCCCCTCCCTCCCTCACTGCCTTCCTCTCCCTCCATTCATTTCTCCCTCACTTCTTCTCCCTCATTCGCACCTTGCCCTATTTTCGTCCGTCCCGCCCCCAACGAAGGAGGAAATGGGGGGGGGGGAGGGAAAGGAAAACCAAGAGAGGGGAATGGGGGAGGGAGAGAAGGCCAAGGAGAGGGAGGGGAATGGGGGAGGGAGAGGCCAAGGAGAGGGAGGAATGGAAGAGGGGAAACCAGAGGGAGAAGGAAGAAGGAAAAAGCCAAGGAAGGAAGAGGAAGAGAGGAAGCCGAGAAGAAGAGAGGAGGAGGGAGAAACCAAATGGAGAAAGAGGAAGAAGGAAGGGAGAAACCAAAGGGGGGGGGAGGGATGAGGAAGAGGGGAAATCATGATGACGAAGGAGGGAGGTTAGAGGAAGCTAAAGGGGGGGGGGTGTAAAGGGAAGTCAATGGGGAAGAAAAGGAGGGGAGACCAGGGGGGGGGGATAGGAGGGGAGACCAGGGGGGGAGGGGAGGGGAGACCGAGGTAGGTGGGGGAGGAGGGGAGACCAAGGGGAAAGAGAGAAGGGGAGGGGAGACCAGGGGGGGGGGAGGGGAAGAGGTGAAGAGACCGAGGTAGGTGGGGGAGGAGGAGAGACCAGGGGGGGGGAAGAGGAGGGGAGACCAGGGGGGGGAGAGGAGGAGAGACCAGGGGGGGAGGAAGAGGAGGGGATACCGAGGTAGGTGGGGGAGGAGGAGAGACCAGGGGGGGGAGGGAAGAGGAGGGGAGACCAAGGTAGGTGGGGGAGGAGGAGAGACCAGGGGGGGGGGAAGAGGAGGGGAGACCAAGGTAGGTGGGGGAGGAGGAGAGACCAAGGGGGGGGGGGAGAGGAGGGGATACCGAGGTAGGTGGGGGAGGAGGGGAGAGCAAAGGAAGGAGAAAAGAAGGGGAGACCAAGTGAGAGGAGAAGAGGAGGAGAGAACGAAGGAGGGGAAGCCGGGGGGGGAGGAGGGGGGGGAGGGAGGAAGAAGCAAGCCAAGAGGAGTGGTCAAGGTATTTAAAAGAGATTAACCCGCGGAGAGAAGCATAAAAAAAAGGGGAGAAGGGGGAGGGG